CGTCGATGAGGCATAAGACAGATTGAGTTAACGTTTACCACTAGCAGATAACCACCGATAACATACCACACGCTCGCTACAAGCCGTCTATTTATTTGGATCCATCAGCCGTTCAGAGGGCGCTGCTCAGCATACGCATGCGCTACGGATTTGCAATTCTAATCATTTGCATATCATGCGCTACTTTGCATTTCCTGAAAATTTCAGCTCACTCGCGTAAGTCCTTCATGGTGTTGCAATTTTCACAAACGTGAGTGTATTTTAAGGCCTGTTCTTCAGGTATTCCATTCTTGAAATGATTTCAGTGAAGGGAGTCCAGATTTCACAGCAAGTGTCAGTTCACTCAAATGATGGGAAAACGTGACAGTATCTGTCAATTAAGCATTTATAGTGAAAAAATATCACCGAGTTTTGAAGAAATGGAAGCATTCAGGAAAACATTTCAGGAATTAATTGAAACTGAAAGCCTAATGGATATTCAGATATTTAACTACGTTGAGATAAGCCTCAATTACAAAATGCCATTTAGTAAAAGTCTTTAAGCCAGAACTGAAGTAGCAGCCTTTGATGGTATAAGGGCTATTTCTTCCACCATTTCCATTGTCTCACCATCTTTCCAACAACATAATACTGATTCCTGTAGCTTCTTCTTGTTGCTTAATATATTGAACTGTAGTTTCTAAAGTCTAAACTTTGTCATGTGAAATTAAGAGAGGCATGGTGGCAATTTTAGCATGCAATAATGTTATAATAAACCTCAAAATAGACCTTGTAATGATTGGAAAGTCTCCAAACCATACAGTGTTTAAAACAGTTTTAAAAAATGCACTGTAAAACACTACAGTAAAAAAAGCGCATAAATGCACATTGAAATTTTTAAAGACTCTTCTTTAAACAACTCAATCCACCAACAGAAAAGTTTTGAAGAAAAACAATTTACCCAGAGAAGCTGCTTTGTTGCTAGCTTATGATCCACTTCACTCAGGTGTAAAAGAGCTTCAAGATGGTAACGGTAAGGAAATGTTTCTGCCCCCCCCCTTTAAGTTCTATATGCCAACCTATGGATCCCAATGTTTCAGAAATGACAAAAAGAAACTACAATAGGAAGCTACTGTTCACAGTGACAAAAGAAACTGATGAAGGACAAGGCATGATTGAAAACTTGAAACACGTTAATGTAAAGGATGTTGCTTATTGGACTGCATGTGTTCAGGCTGACATAGAGGCTACAACAATTGCTAAATCATGGAAGAGCTGCTAGGAGATAAAAGTATGAAAACAAAATGCAGAAATAAAACTAAAGAAACCATTCTACACCTTTAATGCAATATATCTCTAATGTGAATATGCATCTTTGCAAAAGATTAAAAATTGGATGAAATACTTAACAGTACAAAATAACTGACAAAGAAATCATCACTTTACTTAATTGTGATGAAAACAAAACTTAAGTTCAAGATAAAGGACCAACTGCTCAGAAATGGCACTCATCAAAAAAGCAAACTATGATTAAAAATTTTCTTTCATCATCACAAGACTGAACTTTAAATATTGTATATATCGTAACTTCAGATGATAAGTTTACTTTTTCTGTTAATTTTAAAACAGGATTATTAGGCTTCCAATGTGTAAAATTATAATACAGTTCATTGATTAATCTACTTTTTTAACATTTCCCTATCACACAACATTTTTGCTTATCCGGCGTTCTGTCTGTCTCTTTATATGCCGAATAAGCGACACTATACTATATCTAAACTCTCTGGTATACTTGTTTTCTTTAGTGTTCTTGGTGACAAAAGTACATTTCGCACATTTCTGCACTGGCAAGAAACAATTACTGATCTGCACATGTGCGAAAAACAGTCAGTTAACAATCTGACTGGTTTTTCATAATTAAATTGTGTCAATATAGCAATTTTTATTGTAAATACTCATTATGCTTCCTATTTTCAATATTTCAGCAACAATAAAACTGAAGTTATTAGCAGCCACTGCTGAACTGAGGCCATGAGTCTGTAAAAAATGAATTATCCAATAGATTTTTATATATATACACATACACCTTAAGAGCCAAAACATTGTGACCACTTACTCAACTGCATGTTGTGCGACCTCTGGCCTGCAAAACAGCTGCAACTTGCCTTGGCATGGATGCCTTAAGTTCTTGGCAGATGACTGAAGACAGGTTGTACCAAATGTTTATAAAGCAGTCACACAAAATTGAGAAATTTTGGCATGGTGGTGTTTGAGCTCTGAGGTGCCGTTCCATGACATCCCAAATGTGCTCTATTAAGTTAAGATCTGGCACGTTACATGGCCAGGATATTAATTGGATCTTGTTTTTATGTTCCTCGAACCACTTTGCCATAATTTAAGCTTTGTGTGTTCCTACTGAAAGATTCCATTTGGGAAGACAGACACCATGTAACAGTGCAACTGATCTGCAGCTATGTTTAGATGTTTGCCTGGAAGGCAGCATAACTCTGACACAACCGTCAACATGATAAATGCGAAATCGTTGATTCATCTGACCAGGCAACTGTTTTCCACTTATCCATAGTCCAGTCTCGATGTTCCCAGGCACACTGTAAGCACAGTTGACAACAAAGACTGGTCATCAGAGGCACATGAATGAGACTGCTGTGCAGTCCCATATCCAGCAATGTCCACTGAACTGTGCGTTCCGAAACAATTGCGCTTGGACCTGAACTGTATTGGGCTGCCACTGCCTGGTGCTGATTTCACTGTATCAAGCAAGACAGTCTCCAATGTCTTTTTTTCTTTGATAATGTGTGGACGTCCAACACCTTGGAGTCTTACTGATGGTTTCATCATCGTTTATTCACTTTGCATAAATAACGACAACGGCAGATCGTCAACAATCTACCAGGCATGCAATTTTTGAAACATTCGTTCCGAATTTTTGGGCCATTACAATCTGCTATCTTATCAAATTTGCTTAGATCAGCAGCCTTTCCCATCACTTGCAAAAGTAAGTGAAAGAATGGTACTCACTTTCTTCAGCAGCAATTAAATGGCATTCCCACTTAATCATGTGCCCTCTAAGTTATCCAGACGAATTCACTGAAAAATGTGGGGATGGTTATAATGTTTTAGCTCATCAGTGTGTGTATATGTACATATAATAGGAAAAAAAAAAAAAAAAAAAAAAAAAAAAAAACCAAATTCAGAAAGACACGAAAGAAAAGATCAAGAAATCAAGCAGCTTACAGAACGAGACAAAATTTAGACCAGTACAATACATTCCTAAATTTAATTGTTTGGAAAGTATTTCTGCAGATACAGATAAGTTCATATTGAAAGCAAGTTTTCTACCAAGTTTACTTACTCATCTTTTTAAGGAATGGAAAAATTAAATATAAGAACAAAGATGATTGAAAAAATTAAAGAATTTAAAGGAATTAAAAGTACACACTTCAGAAATTTCTGCAATTGAAAAAACATTACTGCTACCAAAATTAACAAAGCAAATAATTTTAGTATTTTATGAAAAAAGTACAATTCTCTTATTGAAAAAGAATTACATAATTCAACAACATATCAAATTTTCAAAAATAAAGAGAGAACCAACAAAATGTTTACTTAAATTTTTAAAAAGGGGGACTTTCTCTTTTTACTGTGAACAATAGATTCGCCAATTCATATGCTATTCCAAAATCTCATTAAAAATCCTGTCAAATTAGATTTATACCCAATAGTACAAGAATTTTGATTATATTTTCACAAACTTTCTTAAATGAATATGCAATGTAATTTTTGATAAAGCTAGTACTGATAAAAACTACTGTTGGATTATTTACAACAGCTTGCCAATAACTGAACAATTAAAAAGTCTAAAAGTGTGCAGTATCAACTGCTGTGACTTTGAAAACATATTTCTCCCAATTAAAGTCTTGAGCTATCAAATTTTTCCCTTAAATGCTTACTATTCTGGATTTGCAAAAATAAAAAGATTATCTTTATTTCTCACTTTTCAATAATTCTTTTCACACAAGCAAATATTATTTACCTACAAATGGTATACCAATGGAAAGTTCATTTTCAACTCACTTATGTAACCTCCATTTTCTAAAGAACATACATTTCTTAAAAACATTTCAAATAATGATTTCAAAAAATTTGAACACACTTTGATATTCTTACATTCAATTATAATAATCTTATTGAGATTAGCAACATCTGCCCCAACTATCTAAAACTTAACAGGACCAATAAATCACAATTAATTATTGATCATCTAGATCTTAGCACACATAATCAAAGAAATAAGATTATTTGATAAAAGAAGAGAATTTAATTTTTCTACAATTAAACTTATAAAGTTGATCACCAACATCTCTAAAAAGTTATATCTAATGCAATCTTTAACCAAATTTCAAGAATTAAAAAAGTTTGCGTAGGAATTGAACAACAAAAGAAAGAAATAGTTTTTCTTAGTAAAATTTACAAGAAAATGAGATTCTAATTAACTTCATCAACTGTCTTCTTAAAAAAGCTGGAGTAGTCATCCCCCTATAAAATGTTTTAAAGTAATGAATTTGTTATCTCAAAGCTCAAAGAAGGATAAAGAAGAAAGTTTTAGAAGGTTTTACAGTATCTATTTGTTATATTTGTATTACTGTACATTTTCTTCAATATACTTTTATTAACAGAGGGTCTATCGCATTTTGAATTATGATAATTAGCCCATGACATGAAGAATTTATTCTTTTCAAACTTCGCTGCTTTTTTCCTTTTGCTTACTCTTTGCTTTAAAAATAGTTTTTTTTTTTTTAATTTTACAAATTACTTGCTTTTAATTCAACATGAGTCATTTCTACTTGCAACTGCCAACTAGTTTCAACAACAACACCGAACTGTCAATCATTTGTATCCTCTTTTAAAATTTGATCTTTTGTTTCTTTGTTACATAAAGGTAGGTTGTATTTAATAATAAAACATTTAAAACCCCCAAAAAATGCACAGTCAGCACTTACAGATTTTGTAGAATTTCCAACAGAATCCATCACTGGATCTAAGTCACTTGAACGCAGGAAAGGTCTTAAGAAAAGAGGTATATTATCCCCCAAATCTACATAAATGAAATTTAAATATTAGGATAATTTAAATTTTTACAGCACTAATGAATGCATATTAAACTTAATTTTCAAACACGTGACTTACATTGATTTAATGATTTTACAAATGATTCCTTAAGATCTGAAGAAATTCCTAAGTCTTTTGTTCCACAGAACAGATGGTTGAGCAACAAATGCAAGATCACAGGAGGTAGATCAAGTGGTTCTTCTTGATTTTCTATATCTAGAATTTAAATTAATATGAATTATTACTAACAATATCTCAACACCAAATTCAAAAGAAATTTGGTTTTCTATTATTCTCAAAAACTAACACTTCAATGCAGCAATTCCCAATCTGTGCTCTGCAGAGCCTTAACCACTTGCGCTACGATTTAACTTCACGGTTGAGGTGTCATGCGCTACAATATAACAAGCGGTAAAGTGTCTCATTTACGCTGCTTCGTGTCTGCGAGTGCAATCCAGAGCTGTAACTCGAGAAATAAACAATCTGGTTGTTAGGTGACGGGTGCATCACGTTATTTTCACTTTTTTGATAAATGCCTATCGACGTGGTGTTCACGTCGCTCGCAGTTTCAGACAAAAGCATCTCGACGTGCATGTCACGTCTTTTTAGCGCAAGTGGTTACGGGCTTATCAGCCACTTTTGGAGAACAAAATTACTGAATGAAAAGAAGAATAAGAAACAAAAAAATAGATTAATTTGTAGAATAATTTTTTTTTTAAATTAGAAATTACATTTTTTGAAGGCAGAAATTCGCCAAGCTGAATTTTGGCTTCCGATATAGCATGCAATCACCTAATTTTCTTAATGTTTTAATACTTATGAACAGTTATTAAGGGTTTCTACTAATTTTTCTAGTATTTTTATTAGGTACCTTAAAGTACTTACGAATGGAATAAAGCATGGAGCAGTACTTATTTTTTTAAAGTAGTTCAGATAATTTAAAAAGCCTAAATTCTATAATGCTATTAAAAGAGATTTATAAGTCAGTTATCTTAAGGTAAAAAAAAAAAAAAAATGCCTATTAAACTGTACACATTTTTGCTACACTTTATTTTAACTTGCTTGTAAAGCAGGTATATATATGTTAATGCTGACTGCAATAAAAAAGAGGTACGTAACCAGATGTTAACAGCAGTCTCATAAACAAAATTTCAACATTCTTTGGTTAATCGTTTGAATTATACGAGCTACAGACAAAAAACATAACAAAAAAATCCATTTTGAAATAAAGATTTCTTTATTCTCTCTGTACATACATATGTAACACAAAAAGTAGTAAAAATGGATGTTTTCGTTAAAAATCCTAAATCCCACATTTTCAGGGTTGCTACTAAAACAGGAAAATGAAATTCCTCAACTTTTCCAGGTGTGTTTTCTATTACTTAAAAGTACATTTGATACTGTAGTTCCAGAGTAAAAAAGTTACACCATGTATAAACAATAATACAATATTAAATAAGTAAAAGTTATCGCGTAAAAACTTAATGTAAAAATTACAAAACAAGATAAACTTAAAAACAAAAAAAGATGAGGAGAAAAAATTAATAAATTACAAATCAAAAATTAAAATTTTAAATGATGTACATAAATAATCAAAAACATTTCAAAGACACAGAAAATATATACAAAGAATTGCAATATATAGTAAGTTAGCCCAACTTGAGGTTTAAGACAGACTTATCAAGGGAAAAGCATCATAAAACTAGAATACATCTAACACCATTAGTGCACTACGTCAAACGACAACAATCAAGACTGAAAGCAGAATTTCATTAATAGAATAATCAAACTAAATTATCTTAATATATTAAGTCTCAATGGTTTCGCTTCTTTTCCCGACATGCCTGCAATTTAAAATTGTATGTATAAAACTTACTATTTTAGCAAGGGAAAAAACTATACAAGAAAACCTAGTTAGGTGAATGTACAAATTAAAATAAATAGCTAAAAAGCTATTAGTCAAAAATTACACAATTTTAAGGGAGATCTCAATGAGCATGAAGAATAAAAACTTTGTTAAAGCGAATAATTAAAAGAAACATAAAAATGATGTCTCCAAATGGGTCCTGCTAAGACCAAAGCCAAAGAAAAATAGAATAAGACAAACATACCTGCATCCATAATATTTTTTAAATAAATTCAGGTGTTTTATATTTATTTAGCAGCATACATAAGCCAAAATATATGCATTAAATTTCGTGATGGTATGTCATTATACTGCTAAAATTAGTTTCAGGATTATGGCAGAGAAAATTTCCTGAAATTTGTGTTATTTATTAATAATAAATAAATTTAGAGGGAAGAAGTAACATTAAATGACACGAATAACATAAAATAAAGATAATTACTTGACTGAATTAGGATAATCTATGATATTTTGGCAAATATGGTTATATTAAATAGTTAGCCTATGTGACTGATTACCATTTTTTTTATTTTACTGCAAAATGACATATAAAGCATTTATTAAAGAGGGGAAAAAGTTTTAAAAGATTTTATGATAAAAATCCTATGGCCTTGGCATGATTTTGAAAATTGTCACCAACAACACCAAAATGACTACTGCTCATCATAATGTCGCCAAATCCTGTGCGTATTGTACATAAAGGTTGGTTAGAATAGAGAATACATGGAGGCTATTCTAACCTCCATAGTACTGTATACTGGGATTAAACTGATTTTGTTTTATACGAGAATACGTATTTTCTTTAGTTCTACATGCACTGCACATGTGCATGCGAATCTCTCAATTCTCAAAGTTGCTGGAAACTTGCTTTGCCTTTCTAAAAGACAATCTAATTAGAGCTGCAAAAACTGGCTCTATGCCAGCTGGCTAAATGACGTTCACACGATACATAATTCACCAAGAAAGTGAACACTTCCAATGTTGGCGCAAAACTCGCTTTTGTAGGGTATCGCTGTATGAAATTCCCTTACTTTTCAAGACTTTGACTAAAATATTTAAATTCCCCAACTCTTCCCTGAATTTTTTGGTCAATTTTCGAATTCGCCGACTTTTTCTGGTTTTCCAAGTAGTGTGGCAACCCTGATTTTCCACAATATTTATTACAATATTTTCTTTACTTCATACAAGGAATTAAAAACTGCTGTTTATTTTCTATGAGAACACTGTCTTCTAGAAGAACCTGGATATGCAGAAACTTGTCATCAGTATGGTAGTTACATGCAAGAGAAGTTTAGATTTGGATAAGGATGGAGAATGCAGACCAGTCTTCCACTGTCCACAGAAAATCTGCCATGTCATATGATCTGTTCGACAAGGAGATATTTTTGTTATTACATAAATCAAAGGATCAATTCCAATCTAATTACTCTGTGAAATCCTAGAGCTTATACAATTTTTTTTGGTCGAGGAAATCCCTATTATACTGCTGCTAGACTTACAGGCAAAATGAAAAATACCACCTCTGACTGGTTTAACATGTGTCATGAAGTATGCAGTTTCACTGTAACAGCATGATCTCGGATGCAAGGTTCTGGTGAGAGTCTTGTACAAACAGACTTCACTAAAATACACAGAAAATATAAGAGGCTAAATTATAAAAAGCAATAGAGCTACCATACTTGAAGATGGTGATTATGAAGTTGCAGTAATCGAAACTACAGTACAAAAATTGATAGTCTATGAATATTTGGTTTAAAGAAGAGTTGAGGCTGATGATACTTTCATGTGCAGTGACAAAATAAAGCTATTATAATATCAATAATACAGTCTGACACTGGCACTGGATCAGCTACATTACATTCTGATGAATGCTTTAGCTTGTGCAAATTTAACAGACTAAGCTTACCATCATCAAGAAAATTATGTCGATCCAATAACAGGGGCACATACTCAATTGACTGAAAAATCTTGGCTTGACAGAAAAGTACACACATTAAAGAAAATTAGAGAAGTAACAAATGAACATTTTTAATTTCACCTAGATTACTTCTGTTGGAAAAGGCTCACAAAAAGAGAAAACAACCTTAGATTTTTTTAAGAGACATATATAAAACCTGGATATAATACCTAGGTTAGCTATTTCTTTTTACTAATACTTCCTCAATAGTCTAAATAAACATACCTTTAGATGTGTATGCATACTAAAAATATTAATGTAATAAGATAACCACAAACTTGATTTTTTTAAATAAATTTTGTAGGAAGTAGTATATATTTATACATTTAATAAATATCACTTTTTAACAGTGGACTGCACACTACACTAAAAACAGACCGTACACTATACCGACTAAAATACTTTCTGAACTGTACATTATATCAACAGTGAATTTTGTGTCTCTTTTAGCTGTACGCTATACCAACACTGAATTTCGTGTCTCTTCTAGCTGAAAATTCTCAGCCATTATTACTGCATATTCAAGAAGTTGCTTATTGTTCTAGTGACTTGAAGAATTTTTGGAATCTGCTTAGCTTTTCAAAACTTAGCCCTATATCAGGACAGGTGGGTAGTAAATTTCGAATCAATTCACAATGAAAGTTCATAATAATAAGATTTATTAGTGATTCTTACATTTAATTTGTTCATGAGCTTAGTTGCTTAAATAATAAATGTTCATTAATAAAGTTAATAGTAAAAATAATAAACCATATAAAATTATGATCACTTAAACAGTGATAGTTTACTTAGTGTTCATTAACAAATCTGGGACCGAACATCAAAATTAATTATCTCTGCAAAATATCGCAAACGTTATTGCGCAATACGTGCGCCGTAATTCTTCCCTACATGATATTACGCAATCGGATTGTACAGCTGCCGGTATTGGGAGAATAAAGAACTAAAGATAAAGGAAAAGAAGAGACTTAACCAATCTGGGGATGTTTTTCATTCTGATTTTCAACAGACTGCGCTAAATTTCCGGAATAGAATCATTCTTCGCTTGGATTGGTAGACCGCAGAACTTTTAGTCCTATTCAATCCAGATTGGAAAGTGACAAAAAAAAAAAGTCCGTTGCTTGTTTTGCAGTGAACTATAACAGTTTCAATATTCGAGATTTTGCGGAAAAAGGGGAGAACCTCCCAACATTCGTACTGTATAATGTATTGGCCAAAAAAATCAAATTATTTTGACTATTAAATTACCTTCCCTTTATTTAAGCCAGTCCGAATATTATTCCTTAGAAAGCTAATCTGTGTTAAAACACAACCATTTTTGAAAGTTTACTATACTTCAGCAGTTACTGCAACTATGTTATTATAAACATCCATACATATGCTCATAATATAAGCATAACGATCATAATAAACACGAATATGAACTGACCAAGCGGAACGAGAATGCAAATTATTAAGATCTTGATAGAAATTCAAACGTGTGTAGTATTTGGGTGGGAGGAAAAGAATGCCGAATGTACCGGAATTTTCAACTGCTTTCGCAATTCTTTGACCAACAGAATGACGGGCACCTGTGTACTCTCTGTGCACACCAAAGGTTATGTTAATGCAGAAAAAGGGGGAAAATCTATTTCCGGGAATATGATTCACCATCTGATATTCCATATTAGGAAGAAAAGTTGTTTATTTAGTTTTGGCTTTGGTGCGGGGAAAAATTTTGCTTTCATTAAAAAAAAAAAAAAAAAAAGCACTGAAAGCAAAAAAAAAAAATAAGCACTAAAAACAAAAAATAAGGGCTTTAAAGAAAAAGTAAGCACCTATAAGGGCCTTTATATTTTATTTTCAAATATAAGGACTTGTAAGCACTTATAAGGACCGCCACGAACCCTGTTATAATTCAAGCTCATGGTATACTGAAGTTACATAATAAAATTAAATTGCAATGTCTTCTACAAAAAGTAATCTAAATTTCAAATAGCAAGTAATAAGTGAATATTTGCTTGAATTGAATTGAATGTACTGATTAGCTTGCAGAAACCAAATTTATTGTCACGACTTAGGTGATGCTCTAAGGAATAATGCAAAATATCTGTTGTAATGAACTTTAGAAGAACCTTTATGTATAGCTAACTTTTGATTAATATCACAGTGAGAACAAACAGACATTTTAAAATTAAAAATTTTTAAATACAGTTTCCTTTCATATACATTTTCAAATATAATTTCCTTTCCCTCTGTATAGATATCTCCTTACTTGACAATTGCTTACTATACATGTTTTTTTCTTATAAATGTAATAGGCAGATGATTGCCCTTGCGTGCTTTGCCTTATTCAAATAATCTAACCTAACCTACCCTACCCAAGGAACGAATCTTGTACATCATTAATTTAAGATATAGGATGGGATATGGCTCTGTGAGTCAAAAAGTCTGGGAACTTCCTTTAATATACTAAAACAAAATTATTTGCAGCTTGATCAGCACTCATATTCCATTACTTACTTTATTTTAGTATCATAAAGGGTATCGCAAAACTCTTTATGACACCAAAACATCAAAAAACCTTTTTTAAAAAGTGCCAATCATCTTTTCATACGAATTTTACAGTTCTAAATTTGTACAATGGATAAGATTTTGTGCTACAGTTTTAAAATCTAATTCAAATAAACATATATCAGTATTTGAATGTAAAATATTCAAGAATATCTACACCCATAACTTACCTAATTCACAAATGTGCTTTATAAAATCTGGCAGTTTTTGCTTTAGAAAACCTACGGCGTAATTTGTATGATCAGGAATGGATGAATTTAAAAGAGCTAACCCAAAAGCAACTTCCTGAACTGAAGATAGCTTGAGTACTCTGCTTAATTGAGGTAAAAGGTTCGCAGAAGGTCTGAGACTCTGAAATATTAAAATTTATGTAGCAATGCCTGTAATTTTTCATACTTCATCACAACACAAATCTTAAAATGAGATTTTAATCTAAAAGATTTTGAAAAATACATAGTTATAGATTAAATTTCAAAATTTAACAGACAAAAAATATAACAAATGTCTGCTCACTTTCTAAATGGCAATTTGCAAATGAAAAAGAACAATTTATTACCCTAAAAATACTTCTTCACACATGTAACACTGACTTATTTTTTGGTTTACCAGAACTTAAATAGAACATTTCAAGAAATAATAAGAGACAGAGGTCATGTTTTTTTCCATAAATCCAAAGTTGAGATATAATTGCAATAAATGGTCTACTGCTTTTAATTTATTTCTTAGATGGTGGCCATTAAAATGCTACATGCATAAATGAAATAGAGTGCATAAATGCATAGAACAGATAAATCAAAATGGTTCTATGAATTAATTAATGAACACATTATATTTTTAATTCCATTATGTTTAAACCTGTTTCCAGTGTTACAAAACAGGTCGTGCAGCATGGCCAAAAAGTAGTCATCAATTTTATTCACTGATTTCCACCATTGCTTCTGCAAGGTAACATGAAAGCATTTGTCACACATTTCCACATGCTGTGTAGAATATTTAGCTTCCTCCAGAAAGATTCAGTTACTCAAATATCAGTACCATCTGTTGGATAAAAAAAGTTCCTTTGTTGGTTACAGTGCGACAATACATCGCAAAGCAGCAGATCACATACTATATCAATACCGCGTGATAATTACAAAAAGGATTTTAAAGTTTTATACCTTTTCTTTCTGAACATTTGTAAAATATTCACGTCATTTTTCTCTTCAACACAAATAGAGAACGAAGCCATCTAAATTTTAAAATGGACTCTGGTGTCGTAATTATGTTCTTTTTACTAACAAACACAAGCCCTTACAAACTCCTGTGAAGGTCACACTGAACCTTTTGTTTCTAACCATTTAGTCAGTCTAACATAAGAACAGACTGTCACAGAGAAGAAAATGCAAACTGCCATTAAGTCTGAAATTCCATCAATTCTGCTGCACATTCCCCTTCTCTTACTATTCAAGGATGATTTAAGAAGCAGGAGAGATAACAATGGGAACAGGGTGAAAATCAAGTTACAGGGAACTAGAAGATAAGTTATTAGATATTGTTATGCTAATACCATTATAGATTTTTATTGGAAAGTAGGTTTTCTTCTAAAGAAATAATATTGGGGTAGTTACCAGTAGTTTATTTTTGACTACTTTTCATTTGTTATATTCTCATTGTAACTGTATCCTTTGGAAATGAGACTATTCACATAACTTTCCCCTCTCGATTTTCAAACGATAAAATTAGTGAAAAAAAAGGAAAAATATGAGAGCAAAAACAATATCTGTTTTCATAAAGATATTTCCCATATAGCTGAAATAGTTCATGAAGTAAATACAGAAAAGAATGACAGGAAAAGAAAAGTACACTATTTTACTTATGCCTTCAATTTTGAAAATGGAAAATATAACTATCTGAATTCCATACAGATCTTGCCATGAAAATTATTATTATGACTTCATAAAATGAAGAGGAAGAATGTTGGCATAATTTACACTCCCCAAAATTTAAAATTTTACTTTTGCCAAAAATAAACACAAATTATTTTTACAATTTCAATTAATAAGCACTTTATATGATAATGATATACAGTTAATTATAAAATTTTAAGAAAAATTAAATACTGATAATTAAAAAGTTTATGATCTTGCATATTTGCAAAATACATTACAATAAAATAATTTACAAGCCTTACAGTCGTAACTGCGAGAAACTCTCAAATATTGTGAATTAATTGATTTCAAACATAATAATAAAAGATCAAATCTGATTGCCCCTTTTCTGTTTGCTATAAAATAATGAAAGCACCACAGAAGAACATCCTAAAATTTTTAATTCTTCCCGTCATTTCCTTTCATACTGCTTTTCATGATATCTACACTCGCTTTCAAAAACTACATTCAAGTAGCAATTTTTAAATACACTCTTTTGCAAAAAAAATGAAAATACCAAGGACTTTTACGATTGTGACGAAATTTGGTATGCAAAAAGATCTTGATCGAACATGTAAATGATCAAAGTTTTAAGACAAATAAACAGCAATTGCAACCACAGCGCACATTTCTAGAGTGCAAAGTATAAAACCAGTACCACAGGTGGAAAATTTATCTTTTTTTGTTGCTGCCATTGCAATTCCATAAAGAAGCAACTCAAGATGGCATTACAACGATATCCAAGGCTTTTCAGACAACTAAACGACTTCAAACGTAATCGCATTGTAGGCTTGCATGAAGCTGCAGACAAGGAAATTGCTGAGGAAAAGAAGGCTCTGGAAGACCAAGAAGCACAAATGTGAGGCAAGATAGGATGATTGTTGGCCTGGCCCGAACCGCGCAAACGGTATCATTGCAGACTATTTAACACACTCGAGCATCGTCTACCTTCCGTGATACCTTCCAATATCTCATGGCACATGTTCTGAGGCTCAGTTATGCTCACAGAGGCCTTTAAAACGTTTGCCTTTCATTCCACAACATCAGCAGAGTTGTCTGGAGTGGTGTCGCAGCCGATCATCATGGCTGCCATCAGACTGGCATCGTATAGTGCTCAGCAATGAATCCCACTTCACTTTTCAAGCAGATGATCACCGTGTCAGTGTCTACAGAGGATGGTGCCAGTGGTTCCAATCAGCCTTTGTTTTACAAAGGCATACAGCCATAACCCGTTATGATGGTGTGAGACGCTATTTCTTATAACAGCAGGTCATCTTTAGTCATTCTCCGTACATTTTTAAACAGCTCAACGATATGTTGAGACCATCATGCGGGTTTCATTACCCTTCATTGCGCATCACCCTTGGGCTGTTTTCCAACAAGATAATGAATGGCAGGCCATTAGGATGCCGCCAGATTCAGGCACCACAAAATATTGCAGATCTGGAGTGACAACTGATGAATGCCTGGCAGAATGTGTCCCAGGATGACATTAGGAACCTCTACCACTCCTTGCCTTGAGAATTCAAGCATGCATTGTCGCCAGGAGTGGTTCGACTAACTAGCAATTTAAACACTCAATGAGTGATTGTGAGCCACGAACAGGTACTATGATCTTGATTTTTTAATCATTTTATTATCTGTGTATGAGCATATTCAATTTCATCAAAAACAACCACTTCCTTCATGGTGCCTCGATTTTTTTGCAAAAGAATGCATATCATAACGTGAAAAAGAAAAATATCCATGAACATTCAATAATAAAAATCATTCTAATTTTACCTTTTGCTGCTGGAGAGGGCAGTCTAAAGCGTAGCAAAATGTCGATACAAAATTTGGTTTGTTTAAAATATATGCACACTCCTGAATCAAAAACTGCGTCTAGATATACATAAGAAAGAACATTATAATATACAACATTTCATGTTATACATAAATATATACATATATATGTAGACACCCAAATGCTTTTTGTAACAAAATATGCAATTATTTCAAATGTCAGATATTTCATAAAAAATTATGATGTAAAATAATAAAAAATTACATTAAAGAAAAAATCAGGATGATATAACTCATTATTCTAAGAAGATAAAATAAGCAAGGTACACATCATAAATTATTGATTAAAAAGTATGAATTTTTTTATTACACCATATTTTTTTTTTTTTTTTTTGTGTGTGTGTGTGTGTGTGTATTTTCATTATGCTAACAGGGGCTTCAAAAAGAATTCATCATACAATGCACTATATTACCTAGTTAGGCAATCAATAGCATCACGAAAAGATAGTGAAAATGTGGCAAGCCAGGTACGCATGTGTGTGCAGCACGAGTGTGGATTTTTGCACTCATTTTTCTGATTAGTGTCTGATAAGTTTGTTTTGTACTTTCTTAGTTGTAAGAAATCATAATGGACTGTGGAATTTACTGATAGATATGAAAGTGTTGCATTTCATTACAAATACAGCACTTTGCCTCAATGTATGGAATACAAAAATTCGCATTCCACATTAATTTGTGTGCCAATGCCACAATTTGTACAACTCTCAGAAGTTTCTGAACAGAAACTGATCACTGTCCATACAATAAAACAGCAGCATATGCAACACAAAATTTGTGCAATTCTTTGAAGTTTAAGGAAGGAAGACAGAAAGAGTAAAAATAAAAAGGTAAATGCTTTATTATGAATGTTTCTTATATTTTTAATTTTTTTAATTGCTTTTAGCTAATTGTTAAGCTTTTAAATTGTTAATTGCTAAGCTTTTAAATTCTCTAAAATTTCAGAAACACAAAACGATACAATTTGCCACTTAATTACTCATAATGTGAATTTTAACAACAATTAATATGTTTCGAATCTCAACCAAAAAGAAAGCCTTAGGTGAAATTCATTCTAATCCTAATATTATAATTTCAAAGGCTAATAAAGGTGGTTATAGGCAAACACAGATACATTGATAGGGTCATGAAACTCATAAGTGAAGGCCCATACTGTTCGATCCCTAAAGATCCCTCAACTTCTGAATTTACAAAAGTTAAAACAGCTGTTAAATCTTCTCATACTTTCGACTCAGCTTAAGAAATCACTCATTGCACCTACTGCTAACTGTGCTAGATTTTATGCTCTCCCCAAGGTTCACAAAAGTGAAATTCCTTTTCAACCTATAGTTTCCACTTTAGGAGCGCATCGTACCTTTTGGCCAAATATTTAGTTTCCATATTTTCTCCTTTACTTTCCAACAATATTCACACAATAGAAAATTCTTTCAAAGTCATTGATAAACTTAAAGATATTTCTCCCTTGCACTCCATTATGGTTTTGTTTGATGTTAAATTGCTGTTTACTAACATTCCAGTCGAAGGTGCACTAAAATGCTTTGAAACTAGACTTCGAGAATTCCATTTCTCACATATTAAAATTGAAGAGTTAATTTCCTTCACAAAAGTGTCTATGAGTCAAACTTGCTTCGTTTTCCAAAATGAATATTATCACCAAATTGAAGGACTAGCTATGGGTAATTCCCTCAGTCCTGTACTTGCTGACAATTACATGCACTATTTTGAGGTCAAATTATTTGAAAAATTACATTAAAGAAAAAATCAGGATGATTTTGAGGTCAAATTCGCACTATGTAGATGATACTTTCACTCTTTTTGATGGTGATAAGGAAGACTTACCCCAGATTTTATCTGTTATAAATTCGACTGATCCAGCCATCTAGTTCACTTTTAAAACTGAATCTGATAATACACTTCCCTTTCTTGATATTCTTATAATCCGCAATGGATCTAATTTCAGCACACCTGTTTACCGTAAACCCTTTTCTGTTTGTTTACTTCCCCATGCTAAGTCCACCCAGCTAAGCAAAAAATGGCTTCTTTTTACTATTACGTGTTTTGAGCTCTCAAAGTTACAAAATTGCACAGATTTTACACAAGTTTAATTTTCAAGTTGTTTTCTCGTCTATAAATAAATTCTAAGATTCGTTCTTCATTTTTAGAGAATTTATAGCATATTGTGTCAGTGTGGCTTAAGTTATATTGGCCAAACAAAAAGAGCATTAAAATTTTGCTTAAAGGAACATGAATCTTATGTCCGAAAAGGCGAAATTAACAAATCTTCAACAGCTAATCATAGTTGGAAATTCACTCACAATTTTGATTTTGGTTCTGCTAAAATTATACAGAAAGTTGGTTCTATTAGGGAATTGGATTTTCTTGAAGCTTTTCACATTCCCAAAAATTTATCCTGTTTAGTCAATGACCAATTCCAATCAAGTCTTGCCAATTGACTTTAAAATTCTACTAACTTAACCCTTCATTTTACTATTTCTGCCAACAGATAGAGCTATCGGCTCTTCCACTGGTCGCCTGTGCGATATAAATATGATCGACAATTGCCTTCTCACTTTTGCAGAATTTTTTCCTCCTGATGAAGAGGGACCCGTTTCGCCCTCGAAATTGATTGGGATTTTACAAAATCTACGCTGAATATACGGTTGTCGATTTGCCTGTTTTATCATAAATATTTATCGTAAGTTGGTAACGATTATCAACATAAGAAAACATTTGCAGAGTAATTAAATAACAATTACATAAAACATTAAAAAAGTTTATATTCTTCTTTCAAACCTTTCTGTATTTTTCTTCTCTTGAAGTAAACAGTGATCTGTTTTCACTTAAAAAAATTAGAGAATTGGAAAGACTCGCCTTCATGCAATCCTCGGCAAGAGCGGCTATAAAAAATGCTTTTCCTTGTTGTTCCCTTTAGAAAATTTTCAAAAAATATCATGATTTGTATATAAAAACAGTTGGAATTTGGTATACAACAAAAAAAAAAAAAAAAGAATGCATACGAAAATGGTGGCATTGCTTGACTGAAGGACTATTATGAGCATAGTCGTCAAGATTAATGTTATGTGCATGATTGCCAGAGCTTGGCACATTCTGAAAATTTGACATTTAAGGTGGCCCTGTAAGTACCAAAACTTTCATTAAACTTTTAGTATTCTTGCAAGAGATCAATCTGCAGCCTGTAAACCACAATCAAAACCAAAGAAACTGAGAATGCTACACTAAACCTCATGAAAAGCCACAATATATAAATAAAAAGCAATTATACATACTTTTTATTAAATTATCAGATTATTTCTACTTTAGATTATTATATTAAACTACACAACGATTTGTGTTCCTGAGGAGAACCTAAAGTATTTCTTGATAGTTGTCATTGCATTTTAAATATATGAAAAAAGTAGTTAAAGTAACCCCGTTTGGCATTTGTCAATCGAAGCATGTCTATTTCACATTTGTTAATAGTCATCATTTTAACAATGTAATGTTCTTATGTTAATTAACCAGCCAGCTATTATAATTTTGTTCTTTACTTTACATGCTTTCCATATTCTTCATAACCAGAATGCAATTTAGCTTATTGTGTATTTAAATTGAGGGGTTTTGATCTCAGGCAGACAAAGCTTTTAGCATTCGTGTTGCATTGTTCGATTTTGTCGGCTCTACCTTTAAAGGTAATTAATTATCTCTCTCACAGCTCTATACTTGTATGCTGTTAAATTAGTTGAATCAGCTTATGGCTTGTTTACTTAAATATGTAGTCAAAAATACTTTATCCATGTTTAAGTGTTTGTTACTGTTTAATTTATATCACCACACGTAGTGGTTTATTTATAGCACAAGTTGTGCTTTTCCTGTTAAAAATTCAGTTATAAAAAAAGGTGTACAAACTTTTGCAAGTCTTTGTCATATTATTTCATAGATAGCAATAACTAATCTTGTCTAGTAAGGTTGTAAGACTCAAATTCAAATATCAGCTATCCCTGTTTTCATTCACATAAACACCATCCTGATGTCTCTGAACATGGATAAATATTTCCTTGTTGTTTATAGATTGCCACTCCGATTCCACCAGAAACATTGAAGCAACATCACAAAGATTCTTTCTCCCGCATCCCATACAATCACAAAGGTTTTCTCTCACATCCCATACATATGTTTAAGATGATCTCCCAGGAGATTCTATTATCTGCATATTAGCACTACAGTAGGATTAATAAAATTCATCTGATAATTTACCACCAGCAGAGGTATCATGTGAATCAGCAAATACAGGATAGGCAAACCTGTTATTATAGATACGGCCCAGAAGGTAGCTTCTAGCAAGAATGCAATTTCATTTATTCCTGGGAAACATTTTTCTCAGTAGAAGACTAAAAATTAAAAACTGTTAGATTTGGAAATCTGAGAAATTCCAAGATGTGATGAAAAACAGGAGGAGTTCGTTAGATATGCAAATAGCACAGTAAGATTTTGGAAATGGTGTATTCTTAGCAGGGTTAGCAACTATTTTCCACAGTAGAGAAAACTGCCTAGAAAAACTCTATATCATATTATTACATTTATTTTAGTTATATATAACACAACTATATATCTAATATGTTTAAACAACTTCAATATATGGAATTTCTCAAAAATTAATCATTTTGCATTTTTGTAAAAGCTAAATAATTAGCAAATTTATTCATTTTAGCAGCCCCACAGCTGCATCAATATTAATTTTTTTTCACTGTTTTGAAAGAAATATTTTTCTTTCAGAAGAAATCCAAACCTTTTTACAGATAATCTTTGAATAACTGAGAACCTCCCAGTGTACCACATTCCTTTACTAATTATTAATCTTATCTATTGGAAGAAACAATACCTGATGAAAATCTTTACCACTACTTTTACCATCACCACTGAAATCTACATGAGAAAATAGACAACGCAAAAGGTGCCTCTCTGCCTCTAAGCCGTGATGGGCTACAAGCTGAAAAAAACACATACATTCAGATTTTCTGATAAAACAATTTTAACATTTCAATGACTATAACAATATACATAAATTATAAATTCATATATATTTTAAGAGCTATTAATAAATTTAAGATTTAAAAACAATATTTTTAATATACAACTAAAAAAATTACCATTGCAGTAGATAGATACAAATTCTGGTCTGAGAACAGAAATTTTTAACCCTTAGCGCTGCATAGGCTCCGTTACGGGGCCATCCGGCATTTGTTCCGCAGCTCTGTAGGCTCCGCTGTAGAGCCAAATGTTTTTAGCTCCAATGTCTCTACTTGGGGGTTATCCGACATTTGTTCCGCAGCTCCATAGGCTCTGCTAAGGAGACGAACGTTTTCAGCATGCTTAAGATGCTGCAGTGTATCAGTATTGGCAATTGTTATCTGTACTTAAAAACGTGCTCTACTTGGATCTAAAGTCTCTGTACTGTTACGATTAAACCATTTTTCGACAATATTGATTATAATTCTGACACTTCAAGTAGTGGTTCCGAAATTATACTACCAAAGAGACAACGAACGAGATAATTGAAAGTGAAGATGAAGATTCGCAGGAAGACTTCGATGTGATACTTGCTCAAGTAAACCCAAGATACACATGGGAGATTGTTTCCAAAGATTCCATCATGGTGAATTATAAAATTTAAAATTATCTTACACTTTGGAAAACTTTTAACTGCAACTTTGGAAATATTTTAATTCAGAATTTACGATATTATATTCTTCACAACTCTACTTCAAATAACAGAACCGCTAATGACATTTTGATACATTGACATGAAGCTCAATATAATCCCAAACTGTGATTACCATAATCCAGCCAACAAATGTTCTACATAAATTTGTGCAAAGAACATATACTTTACTATGGACCTCATTTATGTAGCGTACTGAAGTCAAGTTCAATTTCTTTATATTAAATCTAAAATCTAAAATAAATACACTAAACTAAACACACTACAGTACAAAGTCCAAAATCTGAACATCCATTATCCGGAATGATCTAAAATCCGGACCTCAAATCCACCACCAACATTTTTATCCTATGCTTTACGCATGCACATTTGATTCTTCCTTCGCAAATAATAAAACATGTGGAGAGTCCCGATTCTTAATTTCACTTCGATACTAAATAAAGTACCTTGTTATTGAAGAAAGGAGCATTTTAGCATAAATTTGAATACTGAGAAATTTGGCTCTTGCTGCGTATCTACTTTTTGGCACACATCTCAAACCGAAACATTCCACATAGCTCATCATTGATATAATGCCAACCTGGCAAATCTCTATTTTATTACACTTTCCTTTCATCACCGCATGTTTATCCAAACATGACAAGTTGAGTAATGATTAATGTAGAGATGCCTAAACATACATATATATATATACAGTCAAAAGTCTTTAATCCGGACTCATCGGGACTTCGGCGATTCCGGATTATCGATTTTTCCGGATTATAGATCATCAGTTTAAATCTGGTAAGATGGCATGCAGAAATTATAAAATTAAAAATATGAAACCGTAATTTATAAAATAATGAGCAATTATGATCTAAAGGGTATCAAAATTTACCAAAAAAGAAGCCTAATATTTATTTGTTTACTTTATTAAACATTTCTTTCAACGCGCGGATGCGTAAAGCATACCTTACGCATAGCCAAAATTAGAAAATTGCAACCAGAAAACTATTTGATTTGTATTCGTCGTATTTATAATGATGAGGAATTTGATTTAAATCATATCAAAGACGGAGTACATCGAAATTAAATACTACATTTAGTAAGGAATTATAAGCCGAATAAAATGAAACATCTGCTCTGAAGATAACGATAGTGTTGACAAATCAACTTCCAGTTTCATTGTGGGCAGCGACGTCTCCCCCCCCCCGCGCGCGCAGTCGGAACGGTTAGATAAACAAAGAATATGCCTTTATCCATTTTTTGGTAGCAATTCGTTTTTTGTTTGATGGACATCGAAACATACTTTCGTTTTTTAGATCCTTTGGGAGCTCCAGCATCGGAAATTCTATTTGACATAATCAAAAGGTCAAGCTTACTTTTAGAAAATTGCTCTTACAGTCTGCAAAAAATAATAAGCCAGATCCAATTCGAAGATTAAGGAACAACGCAATCATCAACATTAACTGAAATAGATAATTAGATAATTTTAGCTTATAGCGTCCGTTATACATTAAACGCGCACGCGAAAACGTATTCTGCACTTGCGCAGTCGTAAATGTCTTGGGCGCACGAGTAAAACGCCTATGCGCATGCGTCAATGCGGCGCATGCGCAGAAAGATTTTAGCTTTGAGGTCCGGATTATGGGTGTCCGAATTAACGACTTTTGACTGTATATATTTTTTTTAATGTTAGTAATTGAATAATAAAGGAGTATGGTAACTTTTTATGTTGACATTACGCTTGGCGATGATTACAGATTTAAATGCGCTAAAGAATGTTGACGGGGGGAAAATTTACCAAAAATTTCTTTTCATATGTTAAATATAGATTTTTTTGATGATACTCATAGACCCAAATATTATGTTTACGGCTATTGGAATTAAGAATAACTGATTTGTTATTGACATAAACGTAGAATCATCACCAGAGCTCTTATGGGTGCACGGAGTCACAAAATTTAGAACCCACAGACACTGCATCAGGCGGTAAGATCTAACTCCAGCCCTCAATAAGGCTTAAGTATATGTAGGAATTTATTTAATCAGAACTCTGATAAGCCTTAAGCATGTGCAAGAAATAGACATAAGTATAATAAATAACCAAACTAATACAATTCAGGCTTATTAGTCTCAGTGCACGATAGAAGCAAAAGAAAATTTAATGGAACAACTTGTCGTTAGTTGCCGAACTCATGATGCACAGACAAATATGCATAGTGAAAGATCGCTAAATTTGATGATGATAGCTGCTAATTTTAAAGGTTTTCAGATATTGCAAAACAAAGGTGAAATTTTCCAATTAATGGATTTTGTAAAGAAATGTGGAGAAGCGGTAATAAATAAAGATGATATAAAAGAAGTTTTTCATTGTGATGACAATGCTTCTCAATTCTGAATAGCGAAATCTGTAGTTTGGTTCTAGATCCAGAAAATACTGCTACTGATAGTGTAGAAAGTGACAGAGAAGTTACTGAAAATGAGAACATTTTGATTGACAAGTTAGTCGGAATTCTCGAAACTGAGTTACAGGACTTCAACAATGTAACTAAACAACAGATTGTCTGTCTACAGATTTAAAGAGAAAGTATTAGCACAAAAAATGGAGCAACTTAAACAACTTACATCGAAAGAAATGTTTAACTCCTATGATTTGCAGTTATCAGTAATACTTGCTTAAATTCACAACGCTTGTATCAGATCAATTAGACCAGAATCCGAGCTGTTCAAAATAAGCTCAACAAATGAATACATTTTTAATTTGAACTCAAGGTAACAGCATTTTCTTAAAGGCAGCAAGTAACTTAAACAGAGCAATATTTACCCTTTCATGTCACAAATGAGCAAAATTTTATAAATGAGCTTTCTTTCCCTTCCACTGCATAAAGTTATCATGTATAATTAATATTTCTCATCATCCTGGTGTTACAATACCTTTGTTCCACAATCAAAAGTGAGCAATCCAGCCGAAGGCTGAAACGGAGGAAACTGTAGGAAATATGTCAATGTCAACACAAGTAAACAAAAACTTTAAAAAATTAAATTGTAAATTCTCCGCTTAATTAAATCCAGACAATTCGCTAACCTGTATCCTCAAAATACCGAATGGCCCGAAATACTTTTCCAGTTTCACAGCAATTCCCCTTCATTAACACAGAAAATAGCTCTGAAGATTTCAAATGATAGCCTTTCTAACAAAGATTCCATTAGCCTTTGACCTTGTTCTTTATAAAACTATTCTGAAGGTCGGACCAACAAGCCTTTCTCGCTTTGTCAGGGTTTGTACGGTGTCCGCGGCAAAAACCTCGTGGACGAAAACGTCGCGGAGAAAACAACGCAAGGTGAAAACGTCATGTTACAAAACATCGTGGGAGAAAACATCGCAGTTCTAAAACATCGTGGTACAAAACATCGTCGTAGAAAATAAAGCGGTTCAAAAACATCGCAGTTTAAAAACATCGTCGTCGAAAATATCGTGGTAAAAAATAAAGTATCTACAAATCATCGCATGACGATAACATCGCAGACATGCTTTTTTCAGTTTTAATAATTGTAAATGGATGTTCCCATAATGATTTGTGAGCGCAAGGTGTAAAGAAGGATAAATTTTACTTTCACATATTTTATTAACTAATAAATTTTTGCTGAAAACGTAAGAAGGAAACTTAAGCATAGAAAATTAAATGTAACTTATAGATTATACTTTTCATGAAATATTACCAGAAAAAACTTTATAAAAATGATTTATTAATGGCCTTTGTTAGTTAACTATGTCTGTTTAAAATTCTATTAAGTGCTATAAGTTGCATTAATTTTTTATGCTTAAGTTTCCTTTTTATTTTCTCAGCAAAAATTTATTAATTAATAAAAAATATGAAAGCAAAAATTATCCTTCTTTCCATCTTGCGCTCACAAATCATTATGGGAATATCCATTTACACTTATTAAAGCATGCCTGAAAAAAGCATGTCTGCGATGTTATCGTCATGCGATGATTTGTAGATACTTTATTTTTTACCGCGATATTTTCAACGACGATGTTTTTAAACTGCGATGTTTTTGAACCGCTTTATTTTCGACGACGATGTTTTAGAACTGCGATGTTTTCTCTTTGCGATGTTTTGTAGCACGACGTTTTCGCCTTGCGTCGTTTTCTCCGCGACATTTTCAGCTGTAACCGGTTTGTACACATGTCTGCACACGGAAATTAAGTACTTTCAAGGACCATAAATGAAAAACATAAGGGACCTATGAGCAAATGGGAACTGAACAAATTCAATTGAAAA